CCGTCACAGCCGCTGTGCCGGGCTCTGGTGTTGTGCTGGGGGCCCCTGCGGGTCCTCCAAACCTGTTTACTCTGCTCCGAGTGCTGCCGCGCCGAGGTGCCGGCGGAACCGCTGCGCCAGCCACCAGAGTCGCGCTGGCGACCCGTTTCCTCCACTGGGGATCTTCTGCTCCGTGAGCGACCAGAATTTGTCTGAAAGTGTGGCGTCCTCTAGTTCTCTGCGCCTTCACTGAGAGCTGCGATCCTGGGATGTTAGCAATCGGCCATCTTGGATCGTTCCTCTGGCTATCATTTTCTTGATGGTGTTTCCCACAACATCAAATGATGTTTACTTTATCTTTTTTTTCTCTGTTGATTGTAATTCTGGTACAAAAAATTTACATCTATGTTTTCTTCTAAGGATCTTATAGTTTTAAGTCTTACACGTAGGCCTTAATTCACTATATGGTGTGACGTAGGGCTCCAACTTCTTTTGGATGTGTCTAGATGTCCAGCACCATTTGTGGAAAAGACTTTCCTTTTTCCACTAAATTTTCCTGGCATTCTTGTTAAAAACCAATTAATTGTAAATGTGAGGGTTTATTTCTGGATTCTCCATTCTATTCCATTAATCTTTACGTCTATTCTTATGCCAGTACCACACTGTCTTTGTAGTAAGTTTTGAAAATTAAGGATGAATCCTCCAACTTCTTTTTCAAAAGTGTTTCAGCTATTTGGATCCCTTGAATTTGCATATGAATTTTAGGACCAGCTTGTCAATTTCTGCAAAGAAGCCAGGTGTGGTTTTGATAGGGATTGCATTGAATCTGCAGATAAGTTTAGGGAGTGTTTATCATGTTAACAGTATTAATTCTTCTGGTCCATAACCGTGAGATGGCTTTCAATTTATTTAGTTCTTCTTTTATATCTTTCAACAATGTTTTTTTTTTTGAGACAGAGTTTCACTCTTGTTACCCAGGCTGGAGTGCAATGGCGTGATCTCGGCTCACGGCAACCTCTGCCTCCTGGGTTCAGGCAATTCTCCTGCCTCAGCCTCCTGAGTAGCTGGGATTACAGGCACACGCCACCGTGCCCAGCTAATTTTTTGTATTTTTAGTAGAGACGGGGTTTCACCATGTTGACCAGATGGTCTCGATCTCTTGACCTCGTGATCCACCCACTTCGGCCTCCCAAAGTGCTGGGATTACAGGCTCGAGCCACCGCGCCCGGCCTTCAACAATGTTTTATAGTTTTCAAATTGTAAATTTTGCATTTATTTTGTTAAATTCATTACTAAATGTTTTATTATCTTTATCATAAATGTCTCAAGTCAATTCTGATAAGCTCTGCTTTTGTATATACCTGTTCATCAAAGTTTTTCAATTTATTGTCATAAAATTGTTTGTAATACATTTAATTAGTGTTCAGCCAAAACCAGTAGGATATATATATCTGTGTAAGATTTCTTGAAATAAATTGGCTCACATAATTATGGAGCTGGCACAGCAAGTCTCAAACCCTAAATCCACAGGCCAGATCTTCAGGATTGGCAGGCTGGAAGCCTTGGGCATGAGCTGAAGTTGCTACTCACAGGAATAGTGTCTTCTCTTTCCTCAGGGGAGCTTCAGTTTTGCTCTTATGGCCTTTGAACTGATTGAATCAGGCCCATAGAGATGATCTAGGATATTCTCTCTTCTCCAAATTCAACTAATTATGACCTTTAATATGATCCCTAAAATACCTTCACAACATATAGGTAAGTATTTGATTGAATAGTGGTGACTCTAGCTTAGGCAAGTTAACACACAAAACTGATCACAAGCTTCTTTTTTATATCTGTATCATTTGTAGTTAATAAATCTCTTTTCATTCCTAAGATCATTTTTTGTGCTTTTCTCTCATCTTGATCAATCTTGTAAAGATTCTTCTAGGCTGGGCACAGTGGCTCACGCCTGTAATCCCAGTACTTTGGGAGGCCGACGCGGGTGGATCACGAGGTCAAGAGATCGAGACCATCCTGGTCAACATGGTGAAACCCTGTCTCTACTAAAAATACAAAAAATTAGCTGGGCACGGTGGCGCGTGCCTGTAATCCCAGCTACTCAGGAGGCTGAGGCAGGAGAATTGCCTGAACCCAGGAGGCGGAGGTTGCGGTGAGCCGAGATTGCGCCATTGCACTCCAGCCTGGGTAACAAGAGCGAAACTCCGTCTCAAAAAAAAAAAGATTCTTCTAATTCATTAATCTATCAAAAGTCCAACTTTTGGCTTTCTTATTAAATTATGTTTACTTCCTATTCCATTAGTTTCTTCCCTTTATAATATAGTCCCAAAGTGGGTAGAAATTAGTGTCAATCACAGACGACCACCTTCTACCCACTCTGGCACAGGCCATCCTTCCAATTCTAAGCTTGGGGCTGGATGTGGTGGCTCACGCCTGTAATCCCAGCACTTTGGAAGTCTGAGGTAGACAGATCACTTGAAGTCAGGAGTTTGAAACCAGCCTGGCCAACATGGCAAAACTCTGTCTCTACTAATAACACAAAAATTAGCTGAGCGTAGTGACATGTGCTCTTAATCCCAGCTACTCAGGAGGCTGAGGCCAGAGAATCACCTGAACTCAGGAGGTGGAGGCTGCAGTGTACCAAGATCACGCCACTGCACTCCAGCCAGGGTGACACTGTCTCAAACAAATACACACACTGTCATTGTTTTAAGTCATTAAATGTTGGGGTGGTTCGTAATGCAGTCATTATAACAAGTGTAGGAGTTTGGTAAATGCCCTCAAAATGAAAGCTGGCTTCAACTTCCTGCTCCCCTCTGGGTTGCCACTTTCACTTAGTTTTTGGCTTCTGAAAATTCCTTACTAAATTGCCAGCACTTTATTGCATGTGAATGCTTTAAATATTTTACCATGCATTTTCTTTTTTCTTTCTTTTTTTTTTTTAAAGATGGGGTTTCACCATGATGGCCAGTCTGGTCTTGAACTCCTGACCTCAGGTGATCCACCCACCTCGGCCTCCCAAAGAGCTAGGGCTACAGGTGTTAGCCACCACGCCTGGCTCTTTTTTTTTTTTTAAGAGATGGGGTTTCAGCATGTTGGCCAAAGTGGTCTCAAACTCCTGACCTCAGGTGATCCACCAGTCTTGGCTTCCCAAAGTGCTGGGATTACAGGTGTGAGCCACCGTGCCCAGCAACCATGCATTTTCAATGTGACAGTAGGTTAGTATATCTAATCCACCATGCTGGCAATTAAGGTCATTTTGCTTTTAAAAAATGATTTTTTTTTTTGAGATGGAGTTTCACTCGTTACCCAGGCTGGAGTGCAATGGCACGATCTTGGCTCACCGCAACCTCCACCTCCTGGGTTCAGGCAATTCTCTTGCCTCAGCCTCCTGAGTAGCTGGGATTACAGGCAGGCGCCACCATGCCCAGCTAATTTTTTGTATTTTTAGTAGAGACGGGGTTTCACCATGTTGACCAGATGGTCTCGATCTCTTGACCTCGGCCTCCCAAAGTGCTGGGATTACAGGGTTGAGCCACCGCGCTCGGCCTAAAAAATGATCTTTAGAGTTTATAAAGATGCACTACACTTGCAATAAATTCCAGAAATAACGAATAAATCTGTTAAATTTTGTCCCCTATTTAATTCATTTTATCAGGTGGCCATTGTTAACATTGTCTGCAGTCATTTTAACCTTGTATGTTTTCTCTGAAAAGTACTCTGTAATTCAAGTACAGTTACTGAGAGCACTCCAATCTGGTCTTCCAGTGGTTTCGAATATAAACCCTCTCAATTATGAGTAATGACTTTAGGAGAAAAAAAAAAACTTATTATATTTGGGAAATTGTCTCAATAATGTTATGCAAACTAAGATACAAATGCTACCTAAATTGAATACTGGGTTGGCAGCTCAAAATGTTAGTTTGTTAGCTGAAGTGTGAAAGTGTGATTTTCAAATGAAAGATATGGGGTGCGATGGTAGGTAAGAAAATGCTGGTCATATAAAACCTAAATGAAAAAACAAGGGTTGCTTGTAAAAACGACTATGATAGGTACTAGAAAGAATACAGATGAACATTAAGTGACCAGCATAATGATGTAGATCTGTGTTTACTTACAGGAAAGAATATCTAAAATACATGAAATGGAAAAAAGAACATCTGCATAAAAAAAGCCTTAATGACATACACCAAAATGTTAACAGGGGTTATATCTGGGTATTAGGAAGGGAGGTGATTTTCCCCTCATTCTTACCTATATTAAAAAGTATTTATGACCAGAACTGATGGCTCACACCTGCAATCCCAACACTTTGGGAAGCCGAAGTGAGCAGATATACTGAGCCCAGGAGTTTGAGACTAGCCTGGGCAACATGGTGAAACCCCATCTCTATAAAAAATACAAAAACACCGCTGGGCCCAGTGGCTCACGCCTGTAATCCCAGCACTTTGGGAGGCTGAGGCGGGTGGATCACGAGGTCAAGAGATCGAGACCATCTGGTCAACATGGTGAAACCCCGTTTCTACTCAAAATACAAAAAATTAGCTGGGCATCGTGGTGCATGCCTGTAATCCCAGCTACTCAGGAGGCTGAGACAGGAGAATTGCCTGAACCCAGGAGGCGGAGGTTGCGGTGAGCCGAGACCGTGCCATTGCACTCCAGCCTGGGTAACAAGAGCAAAACTCCGTCTCAAAAAAAAAAATACAAAAACTAGCCAGGCATGGTGGCATACTCCCAGCTACTTGGGGCTGAGGCAAGAGGATGACTTGAGCCTGGGGAGGTCAAGGCTACAGTAAGTCGTGATCATGCCACTGCACTTCAGCCTGGTTGACAGAGGGGTCTCTCTCTCTCAAAAAAAATATTTACCTCTAATAATTAGATACAATGCATAATTCTTGATTGTATCCTAAACTAGGGGCAAAAATGGCTAACAGGCACTTTGAGGGAAATTTTATTATAAAATACAGGCTATGTAATAATATCATCTGTTAAATTTCTTTGGTGTAATTATGGCATTGTGATTATGCAGAAGAAAATCTTTGTTCTTAGACTATCTCCTGGGTACTGAGGGATGCAGTATATGCATATTTCAAACAGTTCAGGAAAAATCCTATCTATAAAGCATACATGGTAAAATGTCAATAAGAAAAATTAGAGGAAGGATATATGGGTGTTTACTGTAAAATTTCAGATTTTCTGTAGGTTTGAGAGATCCAAGATGAAAACCTGGGGTAAAATTATATATTTCGATAATAAAACAGACAGGAAACAAAGAGGGCTCATAAGACAAATAATCACCAATTAAGATGCTTTCTACATGGATGGGTCTCATGCTTTTGTCCAAAGGGACTACCTGACACGTTAGTGACGGTGACTCACCCTAGGCTGCTGCACAGATATGAGAGGCTATAGATCACAGCAGAGTCCCCAGAGTTGCACATAACCCCAGGCCTACTCACTTGCTCTCTGAAATAATCAGAGGACGCCCTTCTAATGAGTGTAAATCTGTAAAGAAACCTCTGAGAAGTTTTTGCTTTTGGAGAATAAAATTAAGTATATGTCAGTTTTCTATAGTATACAATAAGCTCAAACAGGCAATAATTATTGATATGATGATGATTAATATATTAATTTATTCCATTTCTACTTTCCTACTATCAAGTCCCAATTCGCTGGAAAAAACAATGGAAAAAACAGGTTTACTATTATATAGCAAAGAAATAAGGAAAACGTTTCTTGGTTTCAAAGTTCTGATTTGTAAGTTGAACCAAGTCAATACAAAAACCTTCCTTCAGGCAAATAAAAATAGGGAATTAAAAACCCTTTTGTAAATCCTTGGTATTATCAGGTTGCTATGAATCTGAAACACTCACACATTATATCCTTAAGCATTAGGTTGGCACAAAAGTAATTACGGTTTTTGCCACTGAAATGGCAAAACTGCATTTATTTTTGTACCAACCTAGTATTATAAACTATATGCAAAGCAAGTTGAGGAACCAAAAACAAAATACATGTCTATAAACATGCTTTCCAAAGTATTATAAATAAAACTTTACTTAAGATCTTGAAATACAAATTAGTTCATATAGTATTCAGAATCAAACCTAATGACAAAGCCAGATGAAATAAACAACAGCATCATCGTAATAGTAACATTTATATAAAAGATTACTGTCAGAAACTAATGCTTCATTTCATTTAATTCTCATAACATTCCTATAAAGTAGGTACTATCTTTATACCCATTTTACAGACGAGTGAACAAAGGCTAGAATTTGGGTCACTGGCCCAACATGACCCAACTATTAATAGTAGGTAGAGAAGTGGGTCTTGGAACCTAGGTAGTCTGGCTTTGGAATCTGCTCACAACCACTGTGCTATGTCTCCAATATCAGCTATTCAAAAATCAGAAATGTATGTCTTCCTCACCTTAATCATCAGGGGATAAGGAATATTCTTTGCTCCTTTATGTCTGTAATTTTCAACATACTCTTTCCCTTTAAAGCTATTAACTATCCTCGATTTTGAGTCAGCTGATTTTATGTGTTTCTTCCCCTCCCACCCCCAGTACACTACCTTTATGTATATTTGTATTAGTCTCTGTTTAGAATAATTAAAAATGTATGACATGATTAAACCCTGTTTGTTCAAAATAAGAGTTAAATACTTTGTGTAACTTTACTGTCTTACCAAGCCTTCAAAAATTTGCTCAGAAAAGTACTGCTGATGTTGACAACTGGAGTATCCCACCAGGAGCACATGATGCCCTGGACTGCAACACTACCATGACAGTGTCTTCAGTTCTTCTCTACTGTGTATATAATGCAGAGCAAGATGGGGTTGGTGGTAGAAATTATGGTAGTAAATATAACATATATTTTCCAGAAATATATCCATTTCATGGAAAGACAATGTTAAAACCATATTAAACCAAATATAGAAATGAAAAAGTTTTATTTATATAAAAAAAAATCCAGACTATATAAACAGACAGCTAACACAATGCATCTCTGAATGGCCCTGCATTTGGAGGTAGGGTAATCTGTAAAGATGATAGTTTTTATGTATGTTCTGTTTCCTACACCAATATAATTATTACATTATCTTTATTTTTTGAGACAGTTTTTCTCTGTTGCCCAGGCTGGAGTGCAGTGGTGCGATCTCAGCTCACTGCAGCCTCCGCCTCCTGGGTTCAAGCGATTCTCCTGCCTTGGCCTCCCAAGTAGCTAGGACTACAGGCACATGCCACCATGCTCAGCTAATTTTTTTGTATTTTTAGAAGAGGCGGGGTTTCACCATGTTGGCCAGGATGGTCTTGATCTCTTGACCTCATGATCCACCTGACTCAACCTCCCAAAGTGCTGGGATTACAGGTGTGAACCACCACACCCAGCCTACTACATTATCTTATAAAGACAAACAGTTGCTTCAAACTCTTTAAAAAAATATATAATGAGTATCCCAAAGACTCAAGTCCATATACAAAGATGAGTAAAAAAATCCACTACTTTCCTAGGGTCAATTTCTTCCTTTACTCCTGCTTAAATGCAAAAGCTGATAGTTTCTGATTTGCAGAAAAATCTAAAGGTTTCTGTTTTTTAGGCAAATCCAGATTCTCTTTTGCTTTTTCTTCCCGGTTTTCTGTTTCATCACTTTCATCAACTACACGTTTTCGCTTCTTTGCTTCAGCTCCGTCACTTGCCATTTCTCCTCTGGCCTTGTTAGCCCAGGCCTTTATAAAATACCAGCAGTGAACAGAAAAGATTGTTAGGTAATAACAAACAGAAAGTAAATGAGTTATTTACTTTTCCAGGTAATATTTTTACATACAAAGCAGAATAATTAGCACTTGAATTGTTAAGTGTTCTCATTGCTAACAAATCTTTTATTACTTAAATGCAGAGCACAGTAAACATTTATATTACTTTTATATCTCAATCTAAGCTTTGCTTGTATTAATCATACTAATTGCAAAATACTATAATTGCAGTATTATGTAAAAAAAACCTTTTTATTCTTAGATAATTGCAGTTTCACATGCAGTTGTATGAAATAATACAGAAAGATCCTGTATAGCTTTGACCCAGTTTTCCCCAGTGGTAACATTTTGCAAAAGTATAGCCCAACAATCACAACTAGGGGACTGACATTTAAACAATCCCATTTTAGTCCTACTCATTTGGGTGTATGTATGTATTTAATTTTATTGTAGGTTGGTTTGTGTACCAACACAGCCAAAATACAGAACCGCTCCCCCAAGCCCCAACAGCAACTCCAACCCCTGGCAACTACTATTCTATTCTCCATCCCGATCATGTTGTCACTTCAGGAATCTTATATAAATGAGTGTATGTTCTTTGGGGTCTGGTTTTTACTCACTCAGCAAGAGCCAGACAAAGTCCAGTCATTTCATCTGTCTCTTAAATCTCTTTTAGTCTATAATAGTTGCCCCCTCCTGCTTTATTTCCCTGGCCATTTCAAGGGCTCCTCAAGCTGTAGAATTTCTCAAATTAACAAACTAGATTTAAGTAAATGCTAGGGGTTACCTTAAAAACAGATTACATTTTTAAGTATTCAAAAACACAATCACACCCTTTGCCAAGTCTCTTCCTCTTTTGCAGTGTATGGTGTTATTTATTCAGATATCATTTTACCACATTCTTTAGGATTTTTATCCCTTTATACTTACAAAACATGAGAAACATAAAATTGTTAATGAGGTTCTAAATGACACAAAAGGTATTTAGACCAGTTTCTGGCTTCCTTATTATGCAACACCTTTATTCACAAAATCCCATTTACCAAAGCAAGTATCTGTATTACTAGGTGCTGTGCTGTGCCCTGCTATTCCTAAGGAAGTGAAACCTAAGGATTTAACTGGTACACCACACACATTCCTTCCACTTCTAACAGAGAGGCTGCTCCTTCTTTCCTTCACATGGTAGAAGTTCAAGAGGAGCAAGCCAACCACCTGTCCCCATTTCCATGTGAGACGCTGGAACAGAACACCAGTCTTTTTTTCCCAAAAGGAATAGTCTCATGTAGTATTCAATGTGTAAGCAGATAGAATTTTTAAAAATTCTGCTTGCAAGAACCCTAAAGCAGTATTGAAAAAATGTGAACTCATTTTTACTGATTAATTTTCCCTCCCCCGAGAAACACAGTCTCACTCTGTCACCCATGCTGGAGTGCAGTGGCACAATCATGGCCTCTGCCTCCTGAGTTCAAGCAATTCTGTTGCCTCAGCCTCCTGAGTAGCTGGAATTACATGCATGTGCCATCACACACACCCACCTAATTTTGTATTTTCAGTAGAGACAGTTTCTCTCTGTTGGTCAAGCTGGTCTTGAACTCCTGACCTCAGATGATCTGCCTACCTCAGCCTCCCAAAATGCTGGGATTACAGGTGTGACCCACCATGCCTGGCCTTTTTAAAAATCATGATCATTATTATCATTCTTATTATTATTTGAGACAAGGTCTCACTATGTTGCCCAGGCTGGTCACAAACTCCTGAGCTCAAGTGATCCTCCTGCCTCAGCCTCCCAATATACTAGGATTACAGGCGTGAGACATCACACCCAGCCAAAAGGCATTTCTATGAGAATTTTTTAAATCTGGGAATTCACTAAGATCACAATCTTGGCACAATTATTCTTACCTTTCTTTCTTCAGTTGACAATACTCTAAAACGAATCATTCCTTCTTTTATTATGTCTGTTTCATCTGAAAAGTCAGGATTGTCAGACAAAATATTTCTTCTGTTTTCTTCCAGCCACATTTGGAACCCAGTCTTTGGCCTAAAATCACAATTATGTGAAAATGTTTTATACTTAAGACAGAGTTTAAAATGCCTTGTGATTTTAAACTAGTAATTAACCATAAGTGTTTGATACCTATATAAAGTAAGGAAGACACAGTTACATTTGTTAATATTCATATTAATATATATTTTTTGAGACGGAGTCTCACTCTGTCACCCAGGCTGGAATGCAATGGTATCTCAGCTCACTGCAACCTCTACCTCCCAGGTTCAAGTGATTCTCCTGCCTCAGCCCCCCAAGTAGCTGGGATTACAGGTGTGCGCCACCATGTCTGGCTAATTTTTTGTGTTTTTAGTAGAGATGGGGTTTCATCATGTTGGTCTCAAACTCCTGACCTCCAGTGTTCTGCCTGCTTCAGTCTCCCAAAGTGCTGAGATTACAGGCATGAGCCACCACACCTGGCCTTATATTACTTTAAACTGCCTGGAGTCTGCAAGATCAATGAACTGGGAAAATCCTTTGTAAGGTCAATTCAAAAGGATCACTCACATTTGTATTTTCCAAGTGTAGCAACCATGAACTCTGTACTTTCAACTTTTTAATGAACATTGACAGGCTCAAGATCTCCAGCCTCACTTAGCCCTTCTCTTCTAACCTGGTAAAATTCTTCCACGTCCTTGGTAAGCTCTTTTTCCATTTCCCCAAACCTGCTATTTGAATTCCTCACTTTTCTCAAGCCGCCTTCCCATCGCCTCACCCTTGCTCTCAGAGCTGACCTGCATCAGCATTATGTAAAGCATGGACACAGCACATCTGTACATTTCATTAGATTCCACTCACAACAAAAATTGTCTTTAAGTCACACAAGTGAAGGTTTAAGGCAAATATTTAACATTTATTGATCATGTACTACCTATCAGGCACTATTCTAAGAGCTTTATGTATATTACCTCATTTAAATGAAAAAAACACTATGAGATAGATACAATTATTATCTCCTTTCCATCAGTGAGAAAAGCAAGCCTCAGAGAGGTGAAATAACTTATCCCAGGTTATACAAACAGTAAGAATCAGACCTAGGATTCAACAACTAGGCAATTTGACTCCAGAGTCTCTATGTTTAACCCACTAGCTATACAACCCTCACTAGGTTGAACCTAAATAACAAGTCTAAACTCTGTAATGTTTTAAAAAAATTATTTAAAAATTACTAGTATGACCATAATCACTTGCCCAATTTCTGAAAATATGCAAATTTTAAGTAATCTTAATGTAAACCAATTTCCAGGAAAATAACAGAACAAATCAAAACAAATTAAAATCAAGGCTAAACAAAGGTTCTTGAATTTCCAAAAATTACTGAAGACCCAATTTAATGAAACTTGGGGCAATGTCACAAGTCTACTAACAGCATGTAATCTTCTGCTTCTAAACAGCTATTTTTAAAAAGAAAACCAAAATCGAACACTTCTTTCTTTCTTTCTTTTTTTAAGGAGACGTGGGTCTCACTATGTTGCCTACGCTGGCCTCAAACCCCTGGGCTTAAGCAACCCTCCTGCCTCAAACTTCTGAGTACCTGGGACTACAAGAGTGAACAGCCACCTGGCTAAAACTGGACATTTCTGATTTAGTATATCAACATCTGTGACAAAATATTTGTTTCAAGTGATAATTCCTTAAAATTTCAAAAAGCAAGTTTTCTGTGTAACTGATAGTATGAAAAGTTGGATTATCAATCTTTTTTTTTATTGGATATAACTTAATACACTTGCAGCAGAATTATCAATCTTTTGTGGTGTTGTTTCAATAAACAGCATCTTGCTTTGTTGCCCAGGCTGGAGTGCAGTGGTAATAATCAGCTCACAGCCACTTCAAATTTCTGGGCTCAAGCAACCCTACTGCCTCAGACTCCCATGAAGCTGGGACTACAGGCATGTGCCACCACATCTCGCTGATTTTAAAACTTTTTGTAGAGATGGGGTCTCCCGACTTTGCCCAGGCTGGTTTCAATCTCCTGGGCTGAAGCTATCTAACCACATCGGCCTTCCAAAGTTTTAGGCTTGGGCAGGTGTGGTAGCTCACACCTGTAATCTCAGCACTTTGGGAGGCTGAGGTGGGCAGATCACTTGAGGCCAAGAGTTTGAGACCAGTCTGGACAATATGGCAAAACTCCCTACCAAAAATTCAAATATAAGCGAGCATGGTGGTGCACACCTGTAATCCCAGCTACTCAGGAGGCTGAGGCATGAGAATCGCTTGAACCCAGGAGGTGGAGGTTGCAGTAAGCTGAGATTGCACCATTGCACTCCAGCCTGGCAGAGTGAGATTCTGTTTCAAAAAAAAGTGTTAGGCTTGAAAAAAAAAAGCATGAGCCACTATGCCCAGCCTATCATTTATCTTAAATAAAATTTTCACTGTTTAAGACTTAAATAAAATTCAGAACAAAACAGAAAATGTGCAAACCACAACTACTCCCTCAAATTAAACTGATTAACATAAAGTTATTAGGAAAATAAGATGTACTTTATTTTATTATTATTATTATTCTCCCTGGTCTGCTCAGCATGAAAAAATAAGATATATTATGGTAAAAATGAATCTGTGACTTTTCTTGTCTTTTTGTTTTTTTCTGAGATGGAGTTTTACTCTGTTGCCTAGGCTGGAGCGCAGTGGCACAATCTCAGCTCACTGCAGCCTCCGCCTCCTGGGTTCAAGTGATTCTCTTGCCTCAGCCTCCTGAGTAGCTGGGATTACAGGTGTGAGCCATCATACCTGACTAATTTTTGTAGTTTTAACAGAGATGGGGTTTTACCAAGTTGGCCAGGCTGGTCTCAAACTCCTGACCTCAAATGATCCACCTGCCTTGGCTTCCAAAAGTGCTGGGATTACAGGTGTGAGCCACTGTGGCAGGCCAAAATTGTGACTTTTCAAATTTAACAGACACATTAAAAATAAATCCAGCATAGTAGAGATGAAGAACACTGGTAACATATTGTGTTTATGGACAAAGAGAATATGAACAAACAGGAACACTCATATTGCTGAAGGTGTACAAAATGATACATCAATGCAGAACAATTTAGCACTGGAATTATAAGTGCACATTAACTTGAACCATACCCGAATCCATCTGATAGCTATATATGCATCTGTGAGAAATGCTATTCATATAAAATTATTCATTGCAATACTGTCTGTACTAGCAAAAGACCAATAACCATCTTTCGTCCACAAGTAGAGAACTACATGAACTATGACATATCTATTCAATGGATATAAAAAGATTAAAGCTCTTATTTTTCTATCCAACCATTTATGCATTTTTCTGACAGCCTTGCTATAGTATAAAGAAATTTTTTACGTAGTAATATAAAATAAGCTGCAAAAATGATGTTAAGTGAAAAAAGTAAGGTACAGGATAATGTGTAAAACAAAAAAAAGTAAGTATGTACTTGTACATAACTAGAATAATTTTGGAAAGCTCCACAAGAAACTTGCTGAAGAGATTGATTTTGGAGATAGAAACTAGTTGGATGAAACTACTTTTCCTCACACATCTTTTTGTATCTTTTGCTGTTTCTCGCCATTAAACTATTTAAAAGCAAACAAAAATTAATTATAAAATATAACATCCTTATAAAATATACCTACAATTTAAAACATAGAATTTATTACGGCATATTTTAATAAATACTGTAAACAGACCTTAATATTTATGGCTTCCTTAAAGTCACAAGTGTCCAGAATGCCCACTACCAATGCCAATGTATTATTTATATTAAGGAATAGCAATGTTGCATAATTTTGTATTGCTGGGGAGGAGGCGGAGGAGGGGTAAGAAAAACAAAAGAAAAAACAGTTTTGTGCTGCTACTACTGTATGCTTTTTCCTTGGACATTGCATGCTAAATTTCTCTATGTACTGACCTCTGGTTTTCAGTGTTTTGAGGACATATAGCTGGGGTTTCAGATAATACATTTTTAGGATTTTCTTCTTTCACTTCCTCAGTTTTGTTAGGTTGAGAAGTTCTTTTCTGGAAATAGGATGCTGCAGATGCCTATAAAAACAAACATGAACTCTGCAATGTTATAAGCAAGTTCTGAAAAACATGAAGAAACATCTATAATTACTGAGAATTCTTATACTAACACGTGAAATCTTGAGTTCTCAGTTGTAAATAAGCAAACACATGCAAAACCAAAACACTACACTTCAAATTCCATGTTTTCTAAATGAATACAATTATATGAAATAGAAAAGATAAACAATAGATCTATTTTACTGATGACAAATCTGGGATCAAATACTCAAGAAGGTGGACAAAATCAGAATATAGAACAAGGAAAGATCAGGGCCATCTACAATAACAACCATTATTAAATAAGAATATACATCAGAGCTTTCTGGATGACTTTAATAAAAATACAGACAGACGTTTGAGCTTCTGGGGTCTGAGTATATGTATTTTTAAAAAGTGAATCCATAAAAAAAACAGCAGCAGGGGTGGGGACAGGATAGGCTGGGTGTGGTGGCTCATGCCTGTAACCCCAGCACTTTGCGAGGCTGAGGTGGGTGGATCACTCGAGGCCAAGAGTTTGAGACCAGCCTGGCCATCAGGCTGAAACCCTATCTGTACTAAAAATACTAAAACTAGCTAGGCATGGTGGCAGGTGCCTCTAATCCCAGCTGCTCGGAAGGCTGAGGCATGAGAATTGCTTGAACCCAGGAGACAGAGGCTGCAGCAAGCTGAGATCATGCCATTGCACTCTAGCCTGGGCAACAGAGTGAGCCTCTGTCTCAAAAAAAAGGGTGGGGAGCAGGATAGTGGTCACTGAAGTCAGAATCTGCTATAAAGTGTGTAACAAGTCATGAGGCAAAAGAAGGAGAGATTCTGAAGCAAAAACACAACTGCTTTGGTGTTCTTTTTGAGATGGGGTCTCCCTTATATTGCCCAGATTAGACTCAAACTCCTGGGCACAAGTGATCCTCCCACCTCGGTCTCCTGAGTAGCTGGGACTACAGGTCTATGCCACTGTGCCCAGCTGCAAAAACAGAATTGAACCCAATTCCATAGCAAGACAATTGTCAGAATCTCCTATCCTATATCTCAAACAGTGAACACAACAATCACAACCTCCTATCCTATATCTGAAACAGTGAACAAAACAATCATAGCCTCCTATCCTGTATCTGAAACAGAACAAAACTGAAGACAAACAGATCCCATGCTGCTTACTGCAGGTGAGGGTAGTTGAAACAGTACCTGCTTAGGCTTTGGCTTTGGAATCAGAGGCTTTATAATGGGAGACTTTTCATTATTGGTAGTTCGATTAAGTGCAGTGGCTTTCTTGGATGATTTGGCCATATTATCTAAAATATTAGTTGAACATGCCGAATTCATTGACATGGCTGGTTCTTTGGAAGTGGCCGATACCTAAAGAGCAAACTAGTGTTAGCACTCTATGTTTAAAGAAGAAAAATAAAATCCCAACAAATTTATTTTTTCTTTAAATTTCTGTTAAGTTTGTATTGCTGTCTCATCTTCAGAACCAAATACATTTGGTACAATCCAAATTTAGTATGATACATATATTCCCAAATACCATATCTCCAAGAAAGATAAAGGTACCTTTCAAAACGATAAAGGTACTTAGAAGGTAAGCAGAAAAGACAACTTTCAGCCTAAGTGTTGCTTTCTTTTGTTTCCACATAGATCAGTCTTTAATGCCTCCAAGTTGGGGGAGAGTCATCTCCTCATTTGAAAATATTTCTTTGTATGGAAATGTGTTTAAATAATATAAAATATAACTTCGAAGAGTTTACCTTGAAGGGATTTACTCGTCCTTGGCTGCTAAAGGTAACTGCACCTTTCACAAAAAAGAAACCCTTGCTTAATATGGTAGAAAATAGATGACTTCTGACATCTATAATACTAAACAGAATATTTTAATCCCCATTAAATGAAAACAAATGTATTTTGCAACTTTTGAAACTACTAGCAACAGACATCCTCTTTCCTACTTCTAAGCCAAAATAAAAACTATCAAATGTGAACTATCTCAATGTGCCACTATGAAACATATTCAGCAGGTACAGATCTTCTGCTACTGCTGAAGAGGGGTGGGTCATCTGAGCTAAGGTTAGTAATCCATTTACTTGTGTTCTGCATCCCACACCCTCCTACTTTGTCAAAAAACCTGACCTATCAAGTTTCTTGACACCTTATATCTTTGACTTTCCCCTATGTATTGGCCCCTCAAGTTTCCCAACTTAAAAAGAAACAACAAACAAATATTCTCTAAACCACATTCCTTCCAGTCACCCTTTTCTCTTGCCTCTGGCATCCAGCCTTTTTCTGGGGGGAGACAGAGTCTCACTCTTATTGCCCAAGCTAGAAGACAATGGTGCAATCTTGGCTCACTGCAATCTCCACCTCCCAGGTTCAGAAAATTCTTCTATCTCAACCTCCCAAGTAGCTGGGATTACAGGCACCTGCCACCATGCCCAGCTAATTTTTGTTTTTTTGAGACGGAGTTTCGCTGTTGTTACCCAGACTGGAGTGCAATGGCATGATCTCGGCTCACCGCAACCTCTGCCTTCTGGGTTCATGCAATTCTCCTGCCTCACCCTCCCGAGTAGCTGGGATTACAGGCATGCGCCACCATGCCCAGCTAATTTATGTGTTTTTAGTAGAGACGGGGTTTCACCTTGTTGACCAGGATGGTCTCGATCTCTTGACCTCGTGATCCACCCGCCTCGGCCTCCCAAAGTGCTGGGATTATAGGCGTGAGCCGCCGTGCCTGGCCTTAATTTTTGTATTTTTAGTTGAGATGGGGTTTCACTATGTTGGCCAGGCTGGTCTCAAACTCCTGACGTCAAGTGATCCATCCACCTTGGCCTCCCACAGTGCTGTAATTACAAGTATAAGCCACCACGTCTGGACATCCAGCCAAATTTTTCAAGAGCTGTTGACACTATTTTTTTTTTTAAAGACAGGGTTTCACCATGTTGGTCAGGCTGGTCTTGAACTCCCAACCTCAGGTGATCCGCCCGCCTTGGCCTCCAAAGTGCTTGGATTACAGGCGTGAGCCACCACTCCTGGCCTGTTGACACTATTATCATTTCCTCAGCATCGATACATTCCTCAATATAATATAGCACTTCCAACCCTACTACCCTATAGAATCTCCTCTTGCTAAGGCCCTCTATGATCTCTACATGGTCATCTGGTAAATATCTTTCAGTCACTTTATCTGCTCTATCAACGGCATCCCACATAGCTGACTGTTCCTTTCTTCTTGATACTTTGTCTCTCTTGACTTCTGAGATACTGAATTCCCTGACTTAATTCCTTCTTCCCTGGGCCTGTGGACTCATTGTCTTCCAATAGCTGGTTCCTCCTCTCTCTCTGATGTTCAAATCTTGGAGATTCCCTAGGCCTAAGCTCATTTTTCTTCTTGCTTTACATTCTCCCCCAATGCTTGCTTATCCATGGGAGGGAGAGAAGGGAGGGAGGGAAAGAGGAAGGGAGGAGGGAGGGAGGAAAGAAGGAAGGGAGGGAGGGAGGGAGGGAAGGAGGGAAGGAAGGACGGACGGACTTTCCAGTTGAGCATGGCAATTTGCACCTATAATCCCAGAACTTTGGAGGCTAAGGCAGGAGGATCACTTGAGCCCAGGAGTTCCAAACCAGCCTGGGCAATAAAGCGCGTCCCTCTCTCTATAAAAAGTACACACAAAAACTTAGCCAGGCATGGTGGCACACAACTGTAGTCATAGCTACTCAGTAGGCTGTGGCAGGGGTATCACTTGAGCACACATGAGTGCAAGGCTGTAGTGAGCTATGACTGCATCACTGCACTCCAGTCTGGGTGACAAAGCAAGACACCCTGTTTCCAACAAAAAAAAAAAAAAAAAAACAAAAAAACTTTCCATCTAGCCAATAAAAATTATTTCATTTATCTTGTTGCTGAAAATACTTTGTAAAAGTTTCCCCTTTTGTCTCTCCTGGCAGAGTGCTAGCCCCTTGCGGCTTGGTGCCTCCCTGACTCATACATCACGGAACACTCCAATTAATTCTTTTTTTTTTTTTTTGAGACAGAGTTTCGCTCTTGTTACCCAGGCTGGAGTGCAATGGTGCGATCTCGGCTCACCGCAACCTCCGCCTCCGGGGTTCAGGCGATTCTCCTGCCTCAGCCTCCTTAATTCTTTAAGATTTAAGTGTGCTTAAGATTTTCTTTTATTACAAGAAACCGAGAGTCACTTTTCATGCCCTGAATTCCTACACTCTCTTCACCATTTTCAGAAACAGCTCCCCAATTCTGCACATTCTTTCTACCATCACCATCACCACTCTAGCTCAAGCCCCTATTCAATCTCACTTGGACTGCCTCTGCAGTCTCTTTATTTTATTTTAATTTTTATTTATTTATTTTTTTGAGATGTTGTTTCGCTGTTGTTACCCAGACGGGAGTGCAATGGCACGATCTCGGCTCACCGCAACCTCCGCCTCCTGGGTTCAAGCAATTCTCCTGCCTCAGCCTCCCGAGTAGCTGGGACTACAGGCGTGCACCATCATGCCCAGCTAATTTTTGTATTTTTAGTAGAGACGGGGTTTCACCTTATTGACCAGGAGGGTCTTGATCTCTTGACCTCGTGATCCACCCTCCTAGGCCTCCCAAAGTGCTGGGATTATAGGCATGAGCCACTGCGCCCGGCCTTATTTTATTTTTTGAGACAGAGTCTTGCTTTGTCACTAGGTGCCAGGCTGGAGTGGAGTGGCGTGATCTTGGCTCACTACAACATCTGCCTCCCCAGTTCAAGCAATTCTGCCTTAGCCTCCCGAGTAGCTGGGACTACAGATGTGTACCACCATGGTCAGCTAATTTTTGTATTTTTAGTAGAGATGGGATTTCACCATGTTTTCCAGGATGATCTTGATCTCTTGACCCCGTGATCCGCCTGCCTAGACCTCCCAAAGTGCTGGGATTACGGGTGTGAGCCACCGCGCCCGGCTATTTTATTTTTTAATTTTTATTTACTTATTATTTTTTAGATGAAGTCTCACTTTGTTGTCCAGGCTGGAGTGCAGTGGTGTGATCTCTGCTCACTGCAACCTCCGCCTCCTGGATTCAATAGATTCTCCTGCCTCAGCCTCTTGAGTAGTTGGGATTACAGGCACGAGCCACCACACCCAGCTAATATTATTTTGTATTTTTAGTAGACACGGGGTTTCACCATTTTGGCCAGGCTGATCTCAAACGCCTGACCTCAAGTGCTCCACCTGCCTCAGCCTCCCAAACTGCTGGGATTACAGACGTGAGCCACTGTGCCTGGCTTATTTACTCATTTTTTGATACAGGGTCTTGCTCTGTCACTCAGGCTGGAGTACAGTGGTACAACCACAGTACATGGCACCCTCAAACTCCTGAGCTCAAGATATCCTCCTGTCTCAGCCTCCCGAATACCTAGGACTACAATTGTGCACCACCATGCCTGGCTAATATTTTAATTTTTTACTTTTTGTAGAGATAGGGTTTTGCCGTTCCCTAGGCCGGTCTCAAACGTCTGCCTCACGTGATCCTTCCTCCTTGGCCTCCCAAAATGCCAGGGTTACAGACGTGAACCACCATGTCTGGTAAGTAGTCTGTATCTGTTCTTCTTTGGCACAGTGTGCCATGTTATCCGTCTGCTTAAAACCTACAACAGTCTCTCAATGACCTTAGAATAAAGAGCAAACTCCTGGCTGGGTGTGGTGGCTCACACTTGTAGGTCCAACACTTTAAGAGGTGGAGCCAAGTGAATTGGCTGAGCCCAGGTGTTTGAGACCAGCCTGGACAACATAGTGATACCCCGTCTCTTAAAAAAAAAAAAAAAAAAAAAAAAAAGACCAAAATCCTTAATATGGCCTACATAGCTTTGCTCTCTGAGCTTTTCACACTACCTTTTTGCAGCCTTCACTTCACACATACTGTTCCTTAAATCCAAATGCTTCTCCTCTGCTCCTGTTGCCATGCACCTTTGCCTCATTGACTGTCATTCATCCTTCAGGTCTCTGCTGTAAACACTCCACGAGGCCTGCCTTGGAGTCCCTACCCATCCTCCACCACTGACTAGATGACAGCTATGTGTTATATGCTCTTTTCATATTCTACATGTTTTTAAAGTTAATTTTTAAAATCAAAGTAACATATGTCCACAGTTTAAAAAGTCAAATGGTGCTATAAGGTTTACGCTCCCCAACCCAAAAAAGGCCAGCAGAGCCCTACTCTAACCTTCTCTATCTCCCAGGCCGACTCCCTGAAGGCAACTATTTTCAACTCCTTTCAACTGTTTCTCCAGTATCCTGCATGTTTCCTTAGTGATACCAAGATCTATCTTCAACATCTGTCTTCTCAGCTGGGCTGAAATAGCATTAAAATATAAATCAACCAGGCATGTCTGTTTGACTTCTGTATCCACCATTAAGTAAAATACCTGACACACAATTGGCATTTAATAAATATCTGTTAAATGACCACAGCTTCACAAACAACATCTGGGATTAAAAAAACAAAAATATAAACAAAAACAAAATGGCCCTAAGTGGTAAGGTGTATTTGAGTAGATGTGTCACTTTATAGATGACTTGCAAAATTTCCTTGATATTGCAAATTTATAAATATTTCTCACCTGACTTAGGTGAAACATCAGTAGAATCTGTACTTTTGGGAAACGAGTTCTGTCCTACAGATTAAAATAAAGCAATATAATATAAACGGGGAAAATAAAGTCATCCTTCATATTCAACAACCAGACAGCAAAGAGGTCTGAAAAAAGTACAAGTATTCGATTTCCCTCAGTCAAGTAAAATGGAAAAAGCCACATCCATGATAGTTATCATTTATGGGCTTGACAGTGTTTCTCACCATGCTTATGTATTTCGGGTTTTTCTTTGTCGTTAGCTTCTCCACTGTCCTTGGCATCTTGTTCAACTTGATTTCTGAACCTTGGCTGGCTCCACTCTGTAGCGGTATTACTATAACTAAGAGAAAATTATATACATATACATTTTTTTTTTTGAGATAAAGTCTTGCCCTGTTGCCCAGACTGGAGTGCAGTGGCATGATCTTGGCTCAGTGCAACCTCCGCCTCCCAGGTTCAAGCAATTCTCCTGCTTCAGCCTCCTGAGTAGCTAGGATTACAGGTGTATGCCACCATGCCTGGCTAATTTTTGTAGTTTTAGTAAAGACAGGGTTTCACTGTCCTGGCCAGGCTCATCTCGAACTCCTGACCTTGTGATGTGCCTGCATTGGCCTCTCAAAGTGGTGATATTACAGGTGTGAGCCACCATGCTGAGAAAATAATATTATTCAATAAAGAGCTATACAAAGACCAACTTAACATTCAAGAGAGTAAAGGAAAATTCAAGCAACTGAATTATTTCTTACCCAGCATTCAGCTTTCTTCTGAAATCTTCTTCTTCTTCCTCTTCCACCTGGGTTGCTGTCAATTCAGCTGCCTTCTCTACAGCCAGTTCACTAAGTCTTTGAGCCAGTATTAACTTCCGAGAGCGAGAAGCATATTTAATGGCTAAATTCACAGCATTTTGAGTCATTAGATCAGCAAGTTCCACACAACGAAATTCCCGCTCCAGTTTACAAGAAAGCTAATCCAAAAAGGAAAAAAAAAATCAAATCATATTAAGTCAAACTTTTTAAAGACACTGACACTAGTAAAACTCAAAAAATAGTTTTCTAGCTACTGTATCTCACCGGTTCTAAGATGCACATTTTTACAAGTTTTAACATCTCCGAAATTGGGAAGTACCTTACAATTAATGGTGGGTCTGGCCAGGGTCGGTGGCTGACACCTGTAATCCCAACACTTTGGGAGGTCGAGGCAGGAAGATCACGAGGTCAGGAGTTTGAGACCAGCTTGGTCATAATGGTGAAACCCCGTCTCAACTAAAAATTCAAAAAATTAGCTGGACATGGTGGCACGTGCCTGTAATCCCAGCTACTCAGGAGGCTGAGGCAGGAGAATTGCCTGAACCCAGGAGGCGGAGGTTGCGGTGAGCCGAGATTGCGCCATTGCACTCCACCCTGGGTAACAAGAGAGAAAAACTCTGACTCAAAAAAAAAAACAAAACAAAAATTAGCTGGATGTGGTGGCACGCGCCTGTAATCCCAGCTACTTGGGAGGCTGAGGCAGGAGAATTGCTTGAACTTGAGGCAGAGGTTGCAGTGAGCTGAGATCGTGCCACTGCACTCCAGCCTGGGTGACAGGGCAAGACTGAAAAAAAAATTCAAGGGGCCAGGTGTGGTGGCTCACACCTATAATCCCAGCACTTTAGAAGGCCAAGGCAGAGGGATTGCTTGAGGTTAGGAGTTTGAGACTAGCCTGGGCAATACAGTGAGACCCTGTAACTACAAAAAATAAATTCGCTGGGTGTGGTGGCATGCACCTATAGTCCCAGCTACTCAGGAGCCTGAGACAGGGGGAACACTAGAGCCCAGGAGGTTGAGGCTACAGTGAGTCACAATCTTGCCCTTATACTTTAGCCTGGGTGACAGAGTGAGACCCTGAATCTAAAAAATACAAAAAAGAAAACCAACAAACTGAGAAAAATTGGTACTTTGACGATTACTAAGGGTTTCCCAACTCATAGGGTATTGGAGAATAATTGTCTGCCTTAGATACTCCAGGTCTGATCCCTCAGCATAGAAGCTTTAGATATTCACCTGGATGTCCTTTTCAAGATATCTAGTATCATTTATCTCTAATCAGTACTTTTTTTTTTTTCTTTTCCTTTAGCTCCTACAGCTGAACATCTAATCAGTACTTCTTAATCAGGATGGTACTCTGCCTTAGGGGACATTTATTAATAAAAAGGAATACTTTGATTTCCACACTGACTATGCTGAACTAGAGGCATTTGCCCGGAGGCCAGGAATGCTAAAGAACTCACCAATCTCCAGAGATACCAGTCCCCTATTGAGAAACACTGCCACAAGGAAAAGCTTCTCTAAGGCTAAATAGCAAATACACGAAACGTTTCCTTACATGTGTTGTACAAAGTAAAAAGGCTGCTGGTTCCTGGACCACAAGTAACACTTTATAAAAGGAATAAAACTTATTGTACAATATACTGAATTTTCTTAACACCAAACTTAAGGCCATGTTACATAAAGGTCACCGTAGTGAGTACTACCTTTTAAAGAGAAAGAGTTGCAGCCAGGCACGGTGGCTCACCCTGTAATCCTAGCACTTTGGGAGGCTGCAGTGGGTGGATCACCGGAGGTCAGGAGTTCAAGACCAGCCTGGCCATCATGGTGGGTGGATCACCGGAGGTCAGGAGTTCAAGACCAGCCTGGCCATCATGGTGAAACCCCATCTTAAAAAAAAAAAAAAAGAAGAAGAAAGAGTTGCAATTTGCTCTGTGGTCTCATATATCACTTTTCTCTAAGAACCCTTTTCCTTCAACTTTAAAATGAAAATTCTGGACCATTCACTCTGCCAACAAATATTGAGGTCTATTATGTGTTAAGCACCATGTCAATAACTGACATAGAGCAGTTAGCAGGTCTCTGTCTTCAGGGGCTTAAAGTCTAGTGTAAGACAAATAGATAAGAAATGATACGGTACTCCTCTCCATAAACCAATCTTGAGGGGGGACATAAGCACAGGAACTTTAAGACACCCTGCTCCAAGGATAAATGTACTTAAATATTCTACGCATCAAACCTGGTGGCTGGCCACAAATAAACTTTCACCATACACAGCTGACTAACCCAGGATGACAAAAGGCAGGCATATCTAAAAACCTGATCAAAGTTCTTAAGATTGCCCAGCCCTGAAGATTAAAAGACAGTCTACACTCAAACTTTGTAAAATAATAACAGAAACCAGAGCAGCGGTTCTCAGTCACCTGGAGGGCCTGTTAAAACAGACTGATACGCAGAAGCAAAAAGGAAGTAACCTTAATTTTACCTACAAGGTAATGTTTTAAATATTTTAACTGCAAGATCAACCAGAAAATAGAACTTTAAGGGGGAAAACACCACCATATAAAACTTAAGAATCTTAGGTTGTAGGACTTAGTCCTAATGCATAAACCTTTAAGAAATTCAACCTACATAAAAGCATTTAACTTAATGTTTTCAGTATATTTATTTTACTCACCGCAAGCATTTTCATTAAAAGTTCCTGTTGCTCTTTTGTTGCTTGATTTTTAGTGCTCTCTTCGTATTCATAACCATTTTTAGCTAAATAATCAAGGTGGTTGTGAAATATAACCGAACGCCAAAACTGCTCCTACAAAAGAAATTAAATTGCTTAATGACAACTCTCACCTTAATATGAGGGAAGTGTTAAATATTTAAGATACCATTTTCTATAAAATATTTTCTGGCCGGGCGCGGTGGCTCACGCCTGTAATCCTAGCACTTTGGGAGGCTGAGGCGGGTGGATCACAAGGTCAAGAGATCGAGACCATCCTGGTCAACATGGTGAAACCCCGTCTCTACTAAAAATACAAAAAATTAGCTGGGCATGGTGGCGCGTGCCTGTAATCCCAGCTACTCAGGAGGCTGAGGCAGGAGAATTGCCTGAACCCAGGAGGCAGAGGTTGCGGTGAGCCAAGATCGCGCCATTGCACTCCAGCCTGGGTAACAAGAGCGAAACTCGGCCTCAAAAAAAAAAAATTTTCTGAAGTCCTTTCTACAAGTTTACAATTCAAATTCTAGTATGAGACTATAGCTTAACTTTTTCTCCTATCCTTAAAAAAGGGTGTTGGGAGGAATATAGCATTTAATACAGTTTCCTAGCTATCACAGTTAATGCTGAGAGAACTGGGTAAACTAGCTTTTTTAAAAGCTAATTTGTTTCTTATTTAGCTAATAATTGCAGTATTTCAGATGACATTTGATGACACAGGGCTAGGACTAGGACTAGGGTCAGGCAAGCCAGGTGCCTACGGCACAAAATATATGGAGACACTTATTCTCAGGGACATCCTCATCCTGAGACTAAGTCTTTGCCTAGTGGGTCCCTAATAGTCACACCCATTTACTTAGTAGACAAAGTTCCTAGAATTAGTGATGGCAATCAGGTGGCCTGGTGATCATAAGCAGTCCTCCTTCCTCCTTGCTACCCCTATTTATGTAATTATAGAGTAATGAATATCCAATGCTGGCCATCATGACAATTTGAAGGGTATGTATCACAGGTACTACATTAACAAATTCAAAGTGTTAAGATAAGACTTCCACATACCTCCATTTGTCCTTTCTCTGTTGCAATCTGACAATAAGGAAGCTTAAAGGATAATATAGCAACAGCAGGGCGTGGAAGGGTTGGGGGAAACCGAGAACCTTTACAAGGAATGCACCTGTCAGTAAAGAAAAGTTCCACCATAAAAACTTGCTAACATGTCATAAAAACTGCAAAACTTGGGGGTGGCGGGAAAAAATAAAAACTGCAAAACTAAAAAAATTTTCAAAAGTTAGTAACTTAGTATAATAATATCATTATTCTAATAGCTGGCTTAAGTATATGTAACACATATCTCTTTTCAAAAAAGTGTTTTAGTCTGGACACGGTGGCTCACGCCTGTAATCCCAGGACTTTGGGAGCCCAGGCGGGTGGATTACCTGAAGTCGGGAGTTCCAGACCAGCCTGACCAATATGGAGAAACCCCATTTCTATTGAAAATACAAAATTAGCCAGGCGTGGTGGCACATGCCTGTAATATCATCTACTCGGGAGGCTGAGGCAGGAGACTTGCTTGAACCCAGGAGGCAGAGGCTGCAGTGAGCCAGAGGTTGCAGTAAACCAAGATTGTGCCATTATACTCCAGCCTGGGCAACAAGAGGGAAACTCCATCTCATATTAAAAAAAAAACAGTGTTTTAGGCTTGATTAGGCATCAAGGCTATCCCTATATGCATTTCAAGAATTGAAAAATTCCTTCTCACATCTCACTTGATTTATTTTTTTAGAGACAGGGTCTCACTCTGTTACCCAGGCTAAAGTATGGTGGTGTGATTACGGCTCACTGGAGCCCGAACCTCCCAGGCTCAAGTGATCCTCCCACCTCAGCCTCCCAAGTAGCTGGGACTAAAGGCATGTGCCACCATGCCTGGCTAACTTTTGTATTTCTAGTAAAGATGGGGTTTTGCCATGTTGCCCAGGCTGGACTCAAACTCTTGGGGTAAAGTGTGCCTCCCGCCTTTGCCTCCCAAAGTGTTGAGATTACAGGCATGAGCTACCACACCCAGCCCCACATCTCACTTTATTAAATGACAACCACTAAAAGTGAAATCAGCTCTTTTCATATTTTCCTTAGCATACTGCCCACTTTTAAAACATAAAAATTGTACCATCAACACTTGTCATGGAATCCATGTTATCACCAAGATAAATGCTGATAAAGCTGCACACAGAACATACTCTAAGGTCAACCACATGCTTGGCCATAAAGCAAGTCTCAAAAATTATTTTTAAAAATTGAAATCATACCAAGCATATATTCTGAGCCCATGGTAAAATAAAAATAGAAATCAATACTGCGGATCTCTCAAAACCACACAATTACAAGGAAACTAAACGACATGCTCTGGAATGACTTTTGAATAAACAATGAAACTAAGGCAGAAATCAAAATATTATTTGAAATAAATGAAAACAGACACAACATATCAAAATACATGGGATGCAGCAAAAGCAGTGTTAAAAGGAAAGTTTATAGGACTAATGCCTACATCAACTAGAAAGATCTCAAATGAACAATCTAATATTGCATCTAAAGAAACTAGATAAACGAGAACTAAACCCAAAGCTAGCAGAAGAAAACAGTAACTAAAATCACAGCAAAACTAAACAAAATTGAGACTCAAAAATCCATACAAAGGATCAATGAAACAAAAAAATTGATTTTTTGAAAGGATAAACAAGATTGATAAATTCCTACCTAGATTAACAAAGAAAAGGAGAAGATCCATATGGTCACGATCAGAAAATGGCAAACTGATTCCACAGAAATACAAAAGATACTCAGAGACTATTATGAACACTTCTATATGCATAAACCAGAAAATATAGAGGAAATGGCTCAAACCTATAATCCCAGTACTTTTGGAGGCAAAGGTGGGAGAATCACTTGGCATCAGAAATTTGAGACCAGCCTGGGCAACCAAATAAGACCCAGTTGCTACAAAAAAATTTTAAAAGATTAGCCTGGCCTGGTAGTGTGTATCTGTAGTTCTAGCTGCTCAGGAGACCAAGATGGAAGGATCAATTGAACCTGGGAGGTCGAAGCTGCAGTGGGCCATGATCATCCTGGCCTGGGTGAGAATCTGTTTCAAAAAAATAAGAGAGAGACAAAGAAAAAAAAAAGAAAATCTAGAGGAAATGTATAAATTACTAGAAACATCTTCCCAAGATCGACTCAGAAACAAACAGAAATCTGAACAAACCAATAATGAGTTCCAAAACTGAATCAGTAACTTAAAAAAAGTATTAACCAAAAAAAGCCCTGGACCAGAGAGATCATAGCTGAATTCTAGACACACAAAGAAGAACTGGTACTAGTCCTACTAAAAATATTCCAAAAACTCAACTCCTCCCCAAATCACTCTATAATGCCAGCATCATCCTGATAGCAAAATCTGTCAAAGACACAACAAAAAAAGAAAACTACAGGCCAGTATCCCTGATGAACACAGATACAAAAATCCTAAACAAAGCACTAGCAAACCTAATATAGCAGCACTTCAGAAAGTTAACGCACCACAACCAGTAGGTTTTATGCCTGGGATAGGTAGTTCAACATATGCAAATCAATATATGTGATTTACTACATCAACGAATTAAAAACAAAAACCACATGATCATCTCAACAGCTGCATAAAAAGCTTTCATAATAAAGACCTTCAACAAACTAGGCATCGAGGAACACAACTCAAAATAAAAGCCACCCATGGCAAACCCAGACAACATCAGATGAATGGGCAAAAGCTGGAAGCATTACCCTTAAGAACTGGAATAAGACAAGCATGCACTCTCTTCACTCATATTCAACAGAGTACTGAAAGTCTTAGCCAGAACAATCAGGTAAGAGAAAAAAATAGGAAAAGAAACTGCTGACTCTATGACTCTATACCTAGAATTGCTAAAGGGCTCCTAGTTATGATAGACTTTGGCAAACTTTCAGGATACAAAATAAATATACAAAAATCGGTAGCATTTTTATACACCACTGAAGTTCAAGCTGAGAGTCAAATCACATACGCAATCCCACTTAAAATAGGCATACACATACATAAAATACCTAGGAATATATCTAACCAAGGAAATGAAAGATAACTACAAGAACTATAAAACACTGTCGAAAGAAATCAGATAACAAAAACAAATGGAAACACATTCCATGCTCATGGATTAGAAGAATCAATATCATTAAAATGGCTATACTGTGTCTGAAGCAACCTTGGTTCACATGGGAGTCACAGCACCAAAAAAAAAAAGAGAAAAAGACCATTACTTCCCAAAGCAATCTACAGATTTAACACTATTCCTGTCAAATTGCCAATGTCATTTTTCAGAATTAGAAAAAACTATTCTAAAATTCATATGGAACCAAAAAAGAGCCCAAATAGCCAAAGCTATCCAAAGCAAAAAGAACAAAGCTGTAGTACAGTTTGATGTTGGGTATCATATTACCCAACATGAAACTGTACTACAGGTCTAGTGCAAACAAAAGAACATGGTACCGATGCACAAACAGAAACAGACCAATGAAATAGAATAGGGAACCCAGAAATAAAGCCACAAACCTACAACCAACTGATCTTTGACAAAGTTGATAAAAATAGGCAACTGGGAAAGGAGTCCCTACTCAATAAATGGTGCTGAGATAACTGGCTATCCACATGCAGAAGAATGAAACTGGATCCTTACCTATCACCATATGTAAAAATTAACTCAAGATGGATTAAACACTTAAATGTAAGGCCTCAGACTATAAAAATCCTAAAAGAAACCCTAGCAAATACCCTTCTATGTAAATATTTCATGACTAAGTCCTCAAAAGCAACTGCAACAAAAACAAAAATTGACAAGTGGGACCTAAGTAAACTAAAGAGCTTCTGAAGAACAAAAGAAACTATCAAGAGTAAACAGGTTGGGTGCAATGGCTCACATCTGTAATCTCAGCATTTTGGGAGGCCAAGACAGGAGGATTACTTGAGCCCAGGAGTTTGAGGCCAGCCCAGACAACAAAGGGAGACCCCGTCTCTACAAAAAAATTTTAAAATTAGCCTGGTGTGGTGGCATGTGCCTGTAGTCCTCGCTATTCAGGAGGTTGAGGTGGAAGAATCACTGAGCCCCAAAATTCAAGGTTACAGTGAGCTGTTTGTGCTACTCCACTTCAGCCTGGGCAATAGAGTGAGACCCTGTCTCAAAATGATGTAAAAGAAAAAAAAAAAGAGGCAGAAGAGGGAAAACTTAAACATTGTTGGTGGGAATGTAAATTAGTTGTGCTACTGTAGAAAGAAAACACTTTGGAGCTTTCTCAAAGAACTAAAAATAGAACTACCATTTGATCCAGCAATCCCATTACTGGATATATATCCAAAGGAAAATAAATCATCCTTCCAAAGAGACACATGTACTCATATGTTCACTGGAGCACTATTCACAATAGCAAAGACATAGAATCAACCTATGTGCCCATCAGCAGTGGGCTAGATAAAAAAAATGTGGTACACAACACACCATGGATGCCACACAGCCATAAAAAAGTAAAATCATGTACTCTACAGCAACATGAATGCAGCTGGAGGCTATTATCCTAATCAAATTAATGCAGAAACAGACCATATACTGCATGTTCTCACTTACAGGTAGGAGCTAAACACTGGATATACATGGACATAAATATGAAAAAACAGACACTGGGAACTATAAGGAGGGGAGGGAGGGCGGGCGGCCAGGGATGGAAAACTACCTATTGGGTACTAAACTCACTATCTGAATGACCGTTTCGATCATACCCCAGACCTCAGCATCATGCAATATATCCTTATAACAAAGCTGCACATGTACCCCATGAATCTAAAAGTTGAAAAGTATAAAAAAATATATGTTGGCCAGGTATGGTGACTTATGTCTATAATCCAGAACTTTGGGAGGCGAGGCAGGCAGATCCCTTGAGGCCAGGAGCTTGAGATCAGCCTGGCCAACATGTCAAAAACCCATCTCTACTAAAAATACAAAAATTATCTGGGTGTGGTGGTGAACACCTGTAATCCCAGCTACTCGGGAGGCCGAGGCACGAGAATCATTTGAATCTGGGAAACTGCTATTATACTCCAGCCTGGGCAACATAGCA